TAATACGGACACGTCTCTATATATTACGGACAGTTCATATTTAAAAAGGTGGGGAATCGAAAAGTTAGAAAGTTCTTTGCATTTGGTTCCATTTTGCCTTGGTTTCCTAAAAAAGTAACCAAGGATCATGCTCAAAAGTAAAATGCTTGCTCCTTGGCCACTGGTGGCAGCCCTGCCTTTAAAAAAATCAGTTGTTGGGTGTTCAGGCCTATATATAATTCTCGACTGATAGTCAATATCTATGACAAGTACAAAAAAGTAAAATAAGAGAACAAATTGTACTTAACATTTCAAAATTTCTGTGTTGTTTGATCAAGTCTGGATCTTAAAAACTCATTGTCACTTAAGTGCAACATTTTATTAAAGTTCAAGGCTGTGCTCTAAGGCTGTAACACCTAGGGTGCCCAGCATGTGATTTGAATGAAAAAAGTAAGACTTTCAAGTTGCTTGAGAGCAAGAGTTATAGGAGCGGGGTGAATAGGCGAATGGATCGGCGGATTTTGAAAATATTTTTGCCCACATTTTGGATTCAAAGCGAGATTTTAACGGATTTCCAGATCCTGTAATTGCAGTGGATTGCGGATTCATCGACTTTTTAGGCCCGGATTTTGGACTTCGCGTGTAATAAAAATTTTTTTGCCCAGATTTCGGATTCAGGGCGAAATTTTAACGGCGGATTTGGCCAATAAATCATAACAGATTGGCGGATTTGCATACCCCTATTCAGCCCCCTCTTATAGGCACTAGGAGCCAATGGGCTCTGCTAGAGAACAGCTCTGATTAATTAAAATATTTGTGTTTCATTTTAATTTGGACCTGTTTGACCCCAGGGGTAATCCAGATTTCAAATAATGGGGATAATTGAATGGGGGCTATCACCAACAATCATCATCATAATAATAATCATATACCTTAACTGGTTTGGTGTCATTAAAAATGTTGTTTAACTCAAATGAATGATTTTATACACTTAATTACTTTGTGCATTGTTCAAATCACCATTGTAAATTGTGATTTATAGTTTAAATTAATTTAAGGTTATAATTAATATAGATATTGTTATTCAATATTCTGTCAAATTTACTCCAAAAAGTATGCAAATTAGTGTTATTTTCTGCTATACAAAATGAGCTGTTTTATTTAGTTTGATGTAAAACAGGTCTTCCTGCTATCATACAAATTATAACATCAGTGGTACTTTTTTTTTTGTGTGTGTGAAGGCCTCTTTGTGTTAAATAAATTACCCAACCAGCAAAAGGCAACAGTATAAAGGTAGTATACACATGTTTTTGACGTTAACAAGCTTCTGTTATGAGTACCATCACTTGAATGTAAATGTATTACCATTTTATTTATGAAGCAAAGCAAGAAAGTTTACCTTTAAAAGGTCCGGCCTGCATCCATGGATGATCACGATCTTCAACTACCTTCAGATTAAACGATTTCAACTTGAAAGTTTCAATAACATACAATAGGATTTTCGTGTTAGATCAGAGGTACACGGTCAAATCTCGTACCAAGCCCCTTTCAAGTTTTAGTTTATGCGCGCACGCTAGGAACTACAAGACTTCTTCTGCTACACTTTTCATATTTGTCTTCGTTTCAACTTCGTCTGATCCTAGTTCGGTTTATGACAGTTCGACGACCGATCTTTCACTCGTGAATCCAACGTTCCCTTTTGTTGGGCACAAGGTTATGATTCCACAAACGATTTCATAACAGCAGCGAATCGCCTGGTGATGATTCCAGACACTCACGGTTTCGTACGTTATGATTCCACGAATGATTTTGACTTTGCTGAAAAAATCATCACTTATGATTTAGCAGAACTTCAGTCATCATCACATATGATTCCGGGACAATTTGATTCGCTTGACAAAATCAGCGGGCAATTCTCCCGATGATTCTCAAGCCTGTAAAAATCATATATGCTAATTCATGTGCCGTTTAAAATTCGTCTTTTGAATTGCATCGAACGATTCCACAAGACAATTTCCTGTGTGAGTCTTGAGTTTAAAAGCTGCAAAAATCATAACTTTCATTTTATAAATGACAGCAGATATTATCGATGAAGATAAAAACTGTCGTTAGACGAGAGACGTAAGCAACTGTGGAGATTCAGTAGAATCTCTGCCTGCAAAATCCTACCATAAATGTAGATGAACACTAAATTTTGCCATTAAGCAAATACACTTCCTCGTCCACCCTAACAAGTCGACCCAAACAAGTGACAAACTTAACCTTAAAAAAAGGATTGTGTTAGATGGGATCCAGGTCGATAACAATCAAAATATTATGATAATTAAAAGGCTTGGCAATAAAAGTACTTATATTGATCAGAGAATGCACGTTTGATGAGTTATGATGCATGGGTCATCCCTGTACTTTGTGGAGTGTAGCTTCCAGCTTAATCTGCAACCGATTACCACTACTGTGGTGCTGTACCTGGGATACTGCTCCATCCTAAGGGAGCATACACTGCTAACAACAAGAGCATGCCATTAGTCAACTTTACAAGCATGCTTTTTTCATTTGTAAAAGAACGAAGTTTATCTGTAGTTTGACCAAAGCCACTTGCGTCTTATCTCCATGCACCACTTTACCAGGGGGGAGGGGGGGTACTGGCATATATGAGCTATATAGGTATGTGCCACTGTGAAGGGTATGATTTTCAAGCAGTTTACTCTGGGATATGGTATATATATATATCAGAGAGTTTAGGTCTAGAATAGGGTATCATTTTCCAGGAAACTGATCAATTGGTTGAAGATTTCAGTCTAGACCAGGGAAACCAGGAAACGCTACTCAAAAATGTAAAAAAAAAATCAGTTTTGCTTTAGCTGGACTGTAGTTTCTGCAAAACAGCTACTCTAGGATAGAGAGGAATGGGGGAATTTATTCTAGTATAGGGTAGAAAAATCCACTTGAACTATAGCTCTGGTTTAAGCTAAGGGTTCCAGGGTAATTGCGGCACATGCCAACCCAAAACTTCCTAAATCCCTCCCCCCCAGGCACTTTACATCAGAACAATATAAAGCAGGTACAGTCATGCCATTCAAGGACATCATGTGGTAAAACCTATATTAATAATTGCCACCTCTTTAAGTTTATAATAATAAACAGTTGATGTTTTTGTCCTAGTGGCAGACAGTCCATAAATTAAAAAAAGTTAGAAAAAGAAGGTGAATAACATACAAATTAGGGTAATCTGCTGCTGTACCTTACTTGCTTGTTCTGAACTTTTCCATTCTGAAGTTTTATCTGTTTATTTGTTATTATGTAGAAGCCACTGGATCCAGATAATACAACCAGAATTACCGTTGCCCTTGCGGAAGCCTGGCCTGCATTGCAAACTCTCCATTTGGGGAATATCATGGGTAAGTCATATGGGAGCAGCACTCAAAAAAAGACACCAGAACAAAGGGCTCCCTTTGTCTACCTTTCATGGCTCTGCAGCTCTCATGCAGGCATTCTCTTGCTGATCGATTGCCTCTCAAAATTTAATGGAGAGCTTGCTTACAGGCTAATGGATGATCATGATCAGTTGCACTGACAGAGTCTCACTGTATTCTTTATGTTTAATCCATTATTTCTCAATAGCATTCTTGTTAATCTTTTCTAGATTTGTCTTTCTGATGCTGATGTTTCATCTGCAGAGGAAGCAAATATGATATTGCAAACCCATAGCAACCCTTACCAAGTTGAGGAATTTATTCTTGAAGGTATGCATATTTTATAAAGCTTTGTCAGTGCATTTATTTAAATAAATTGCCTTCATATCAATGTACTATTATAGAGTTCCCAATCCCCATCCACCTATAGATTTGTCCTGTCCATGTATTTTAGGGTGCAGAGCCACAAAATATCATGCAAATAAAAACAATAACAACAACTTGACGTCTTTACAATATTTATTTTGTGCTCTGCTAGTTATTTAATTTCACTAAAAGTAATGACCCCAAGATACCATGCAAAATGAAAATTTTAAATCAACTAATAACTGACAAAAAAACAAGGTCTTTATAACAAGAGTGTATGAAAAGCCACACAAATACTCATCAAAGTGATAGCTATAGTAATTCACAGGCTTACAACACAGGAAAAAATAACGGATTCCCATTTTTGGATATTTTAGGGTATTTAACCCATTCGCCCCTGAACTGCCCGTAACTGCCCGTGCGGATCCAGGTCCTTTCTACCCTTTGTGACGTCATCAGTTTTAACGGTCAAGGACAACTTTCTTCGCTAACTTGTGCAGAGTGAAGAGATCTTTCAAACCATACCAGAATGAGCACAATTCAGTCAAGGACACGGGAGAAAGAGGCAAAAAACCATGTGACATTGACCTGAAAATCTCCATGAAAATCTTGTTCCATTACCCACCTACCTTTCCTTTCACCTAATCCTAAGATCCTAAAAGCTTTTCTAAAAACTCTTCCCACCAAAATAAAGCCTACTAAATGCCCAGCAAGAGAAAAAAAAAATGAGGCAAGAAAAGTGAAAAAAGAAGGGAGGAGAGTTCTAAAGCAAAAAGTAACAGTCAAGACTGCTGTGTCACTTTTAAACCCAAAAACTATCTCGAAATTTTGCTTTCTGCGCATATGCCCGAACTTTGCAAGCTGATATTTTGCATCTGGATCAGAAGGCCGCGAAGTGTACGACCTGTAGACTGGTTTGTGGTAAGTTTTAGCTCTTTATAGCACGACAGTGACCAGAAAACCACTCGACTAGCTTCAAAACGCGTTTTTCGGCAAAATCTCCAGGAGTGAATGGGTTAAAGAATACCCACAAAAATCCCAAATTTGGAGGAGTGAGACAAGTCCCAATCAGGGAACTTGGTTCGGAATTCCCCGGTTGGGACTTGTCTCACTTTGCCAAATTTGGGATTTTTATAGGTATTCTTTAAATACCCGAAAAAATCCAAAAATGGGAATCCGTTATTTTTTCCTGTGCAAGAAGCAATAATTATTTTCAACCAAACAGTTTTTTCTCTGCAAGGAAAGCCAAGTATACACAGCATTCCTATCCAACTGTTTTACTTCACAAATTTGCAAAGGCTCAGTCTGTGTGATAATCAACTGCAAGACATTCCATGGTCTATTATTTACCTGCGGCAACTCAAGGAACTCGATGTTTCCTTCAATGCATTGGTAGGTGCTGGTTTTATTCAATTTTGAGATTGTTTTATTCATCCTATACCAGGGCTGTCAACCCCCCACGTCCTCAGATATTGAGAATTGTTGGGAAGGGACGATAGATGACGTCATAATGCACGGCACTTGACGTCATTTGTGACAAAAAAAAACTGTGAAAAAGATGTTGTTGGAATTGTAAAATTTGACCTAATTGATTTACTTCCCACCAATCACATCATTGCTTATATTACAACGGCATACTGGAGTTTGTGAGGAAAAGTTCGATGTTAACAGTTAAATAGCTCAAATAAGGAAAAATATGTGAAATTTCATTGTCAGAAAGTCGAATCTACAAGAAATGGCAAACTTCGGCGATTATCTGGGAGATTTCAGACTCTAATCTGGAGACCGGGAGAAATGGTTCAAAATCTGGTGTCTCCCAGATTATCCGGGAGAGTAATTGACAGCGGCCCTGCTATACAATGTTATTAATTCACAGCAGCTGATCACATGAGGCTTGATATTGGCCACAAATTAGGATATTATCTGTACCACATTGCTGTAAGTGTATAATAGGCTCATTTATTACTTATTTCACGATACTAAATCACTTTTGGGAAATTCTTTTTGCTAAAATGTGGAAAAGCCCAAGGCTTAATTCAAATGTAAATGAAATACTGTATACAATGTTGTGTAGACAGTTACAAGCACATACTGTTATTGGTTATGGTACTTGTTAACCACCTTTTAAAAGTTCCTGGAAATTCAAGCACACAGTTAATTTGTGTTCTCAAAGAACTGTCCATCCACTTGTTAAAAATTAATCATTAATTCTTGTTGTTTTCTTGAACATTAGCATGTTCATATTTTGTTAGCTAAATAATAATATTGTCCATTTACTTCTATGTAAAAAAATGTTTTCAATTATATACTATGTGTTTATGTTACTCTTTAATTGCTTATTCACTATGAGCTGTTAGCTATTATTGTTTCCCCTTATTATTTTACTTATCAATTTTTATTTTATTAGAGTGTTCTTCCAAGAATTGTGTGCTATGTTCCAACCTTGCACGTTCTATCATTTCAGTAAGAAGACTAAAACTTTGCCACAGAAATATATTTGTCCTCAAAAAAATGAAGGGATCAAGAGCAATATTAAGTGACTATTCTTTATTCAAGGGAGTGCTTCTTTTTTCAAGTGTAAGATGTTTAGTTTTGAAAGCCATGAAATTCATCTGTTAGCCCTTTTGGGCCCCTTCACAGACCCAAATGACAGATTTTCCTACCCTGTCGTATCCTTCAACGGTAAAATCCCCACCCTTTCATATACCTTAAGCCTAAAAATGGTACCCCTTTCAGGTGGAGCCTCCCCTGATAGGCCATTATAGAGAGTACCCCCTGGGCGTGGCATGCATCACAATGGGTGGGGCATATAAAGTCTCTATTTTCTTGGTGCTCTAGAGTACTTTTAAAACTACGTATAAGTTCATGGTGAAGAAAATGTTCCAAAGGGACTAATACTAATCCTCCATCCTCTCTCTTTTTATCTTTTTCTTCAGAAACAACTTTATCACCTATTTACCAACAGAGCTGCTTAATTTACCCAGTCTTAAGACTTTAGAGGCGCAAGATAATCCCTTGGTTTCGCCTCCTCCAGCAATCGCAGAGAGAGGAAGAGAATCCATTTTAGCTTACCTTAGAAAGAGAAAAAGCAGAAGAAACATGTTTTCAGACTTCAAGCCATGGATCTCTCCAAATGATAACCTGGTCACTGTGGAGGTATCAACCCTGGTAGAGCTCTGTGTCAAGTAAGTATAGCTCTGCTTAGCCTGCGTGGTAGGTCTTTGAAGGGGGAGGGGAAAGGGGGGATCATTTAAGGCATACAAGTACACAGGGGTGTGTGGGAGATGATGTTAATTAAATTGGAAACTTTCCCTTGAAAGAGGGATTTAGAAGAAGACGTTTCCTTCCCAACTTACTCCCACACCTATCGAGTACAAAGAGTACACACAAGAGAGGGAGTTAGAGGGAGACATTCTCTTCCTACCTTCCTTCCTTGCCTCCTTGTTTCCTTATCGCGATCTCACGCACCTCTATTTCAGGTAATCCTGTGTAACCATTCAAATGAAACCTCTTCAACACTAGCAAATGACACAGGCTCCATATAAAAAGGGTGTATCTATGATGCACTATATTTACCTTGGCAAGAATGGCTGCATTGACATTGGGAAGTGGGACTGGTTCATCATCGTCTTCATCCATGCCAAGATCTAAAAATTGAAGCATGGTAATATGGGTCAAACCAAAAAGACCTTAAGGTTGAGTAAACAGCCTGCATTTTAATCTCAAAATATTAGCTTTCTGTGGCATCATTTTTTTCCTTGCACATAGCCTTGTACAACTTTTTCCTATGGACTCTCTAAGATTGACACTGTCAAAAAAGCACCTTGAGATGGTCCTGACTGTTGTTCAGTCAAGTTTTTACAATCTCTAAAACAAAAATGAAACCCACTCTAAAATAAGCACCAACTGTCAATCATAATTCACTGTACATAGCCAGTAATTTTCACGCACATCAAACTGCCATTTGCTCATGCACTTACTTGAGTTATTAATATAGAGTGAAGTTCCCCTAAAGTAAAGCCATTTCTATTTTTTAAAAAATAAAATAATGTCCTGATGTCTTATGCCTATTTATAATAACACATTCAACATTAATTCTGCAACATGTTTGTAGATATGAAACTGTGTAATAAATACTGAATACAATGTTATGTAACTGTAGAGATGTGATGATCATCTCTGCACTTATTTCTTCATCATCAAAATTCAAACATTCATCATTTCACAATGTTACGTGTAATCACAAAAAGGGCTTCTCCTTTGAACTCACCTTCAAGCATAGTTTTTGTGACAGATGCTTTGACCACTTCTACACCAACTTCATAAATTTCTCCATCTGAGCTTTGTAGTTTAATTTCTGGCATCTGAACCAATAAAAACCACAAACCATAAAATGTTACACAAACAGAGGGGCCTAGAATATAGCCCCAAGTTACTCCCTTCCTTGCTAAGCATTTCATTTAGTCAAGCATTTGTCGAGCAATATTTTGCTCTTTCTGTATGGCCAGGTTGTTAAAAACGGGATGGCATAACCCAAGGATAGCACAATATTTTAGGGGCAGATCCAGAAAATTTAGAAAGAGGTAACTGGGAGACTTGCCAGTTACTATAACATTTTATTCATTGGTCACAGAACTCTGACAGATTTTTGTGTTCAAAGATTAAGGATATAGAAGACACAATTTACTGAAATAAGAGACATGACTTAATTTAGTATGTTGAAACTGCCCATAGGTGAACTCCAATAAAGCTACACTTTCATAAGGGGAGTGGTCACTTACAAGAGGTTTCTGAGTGAGGGCTCCAACACCTCACAAATTCTTGGTTTGCAACCACATGACAAGGCCGCCATGTTGGGGGTCAATACAATAGAATTTTTTTTCTCGAAGAATTTACATAAAAATAGAGTTTAAATCCCAGAGGAGAGAAATGCTTTTGTTCTTGGCCACCAACATGACACAAACCAGCAATAGCCTGACTTCTGGCAGTATAGGTGTTATTGTCTCATTTGCTCAGAAGCCCTTCTAGCTAATCCAGCCAGGCTAACCACACACATGCTGGCAGAATAGGACACCACACCACACCTGGGACTATGTCCCCTACTATATATCAACAGGATGTGTCGTCTTAAAAGTCCCACAGATTTTGAGTGAGCAAGGGTTGTGAGACCAAACCCGCAGTTCATTGTCCTTATCAAAAAAGACTCCTCAGTTATTTGAGGACCTACAGTGTTGGTCTTGCCAGAATTGGAAAAGAAGCCTCCTGCTTAGAAGACAGATACTAATCCAAACTGGTTTGCTGTGGCAGTTTGAACCAAAGTGCTTAGACCGGGAACATTCTGATGTTTTGAATGGATGGTCCCTCACTCGCTGAGGATCACAGTACCACACATTGCATGTGGATAAATTTAAATTTTCAATTTTACCACAGACTTAAATGCTACATATAGTAAAATGCAAGTTCTCGAGACAATTCAAAAGCAACAAAAGCAGACACATGTTGCTTAAAAAACTGAACCCACATCTTAAATCAATACATACGGACCAGTTGCAGTGATAGCTATTGACAGAGATAGTTGCCATGACAGTGAACACATAAAATATATGTTAATTTCTTTGCAACACTTTTATCCCTTCAACTAGGAAGTTAACTGTTTGCGGAAAACTCCAAAAAAAGTATTTTTACATGCTTACTGCACACTCAGAGCATGATTCACGTAGAAAAACGATGCACAACAGACACTAAAATGAACGTTAAGAGAATATAATAGAAAAAAAGAAATACCTCACTCGTCCAAGTTTGGTTTAGTGTCTTTTTGAAGACTGTAACAGACGTAACTGAAGAAAACCCCACGTCAAAAAATAATTACAGTCGAACCTCGCTATTTCGAACTCCGTTAATTCGAAGTCCCCGCTATTTCGAAGGAAGATCGAATGCCCTTGGATTTACCCTTCCCCTTTACGCTTCCCCGGTTATTTCGAAGCCCCGCTATTTCGAACGTTTTTTCATTTCCCTTGGGACTTCGAAATAGCGGGGTTCGACTGTATCTATATTTTGGCATCAACTTCGACAACGGCCGGGAGGAACTGTCCCAGAATTCCTCTAAAAAGCAAAAATTGTCCGTGGGAAACTGGTAACAATGACGTTTTGGTGGGCTTACATGAAGGAATGCACGATGACAACAAGAAAGTGGTCACTAAGCACGGTTTGACACACGCAAAAATGGAAACGTGGGTGAAAATGTGTAGTCTGTCTCGTGTCAAAGAATGAAAAGTTAATTTTCCTTTCTGGCTATGGATTTTCTTTTGCAACATTTTAGAAGGTTATTTTCGTTCTTGTGCGGAAATTCTGACGATGTGCACCCGAAGGTAAGCCAAAAAGGTTTAATTGAGTCTTGAGTTTAAAAGCTGCAAAAATCATAACTTTCATTTTATAAATGACAGCAGATATTATCGATGAAGATAAAAACTGTCGTTAGACGAGAGACGTAAGCAACTGTGGAGATTCAGTAGAATCTCTGCCTGCAAAATCCTACCATAAATGTAGATGAACACTAAATTTTGCCATTAAGCAAATACACTTCCTCGTCCACCCTAACAAGTCGACCCAAACAAGTGACAAACTTAACCTTAAAAAAAGGATTGTGTTAGATGGGATCCAGGTCGATAACAGTCAAAATATTATGATAATTAAAAGGCTTGGCAATAAAAGTACTTATATTGATCAGAGAATGCACGTTTGATGAGTTATGATGCATGGGTCATCCCTGTACTTTGTGGAGTGTAGCTTCCAGCTTAATCTGCAACCGATTACCACTACTGTGGTGCTGTACCTGGGATACTGCTCCATCCTAAGGGAGCATACACTGCTAACAACAAGAGCATGCCATTAGTCAACTTTACAAGCATGCTTTTTTCATTTGTAAAAGAACGAAGTTTATCTGTAGTTTGACCAAAGCCACTTGCGTCTTATCTCCATGCACCACTTTACCAGGGGGGAGGGGGGGTACTGGCATATATGAGCTATATAGGTATGTGCCACTGTGAAGGGTATGATTTTCAAGCAGTTTACTCTGGGATATGGTATATATATATATCAGAGAGTTTAGGTCTAGAATAGGGTATCATTTTCCAGGAAACTGATCAATTGGTTGAAGATTTCAGTCTAGACCAGGGAAACCAGGAAATGCTACTCAAAAATGTAAAATAATCAGTTTTGTTTTAGTTGGACTGTGGTTTCTGGAAAACAGCTACTCTAGGATAGGGGGAATTTGGGGAATTTAGTCTAGTATAAGGAAGCAAAATTCACTTGAACTATAGATTTGGTTTAGGCTAAGGGTTCCAGGGTCACAGCAGCACATAGCCACCCAAAACTTTCAGGTACATTACGTCAGAACAATATAAGGCAGGTATACAGTCATGGCATTCAAGGACATCATGTGGTAAAACCTATATTAATAATTGCCACCTCTTTAAGTTTATAATAATAAACAGTTGATGTTTTTCTCCTAGTGGCAGACAGTCCATAAATTAAAAAAAGTTATAAAAAGAAGGTGAATAACATACAAATTAGGGTAATCTGGTGCTGTACCTTACTTGCTTGTTCTGAACTTTTCCATTCTGAAGTTTTATCTGTTTATTTGTTATTATATAGAAGCCACTGGATCCAAATAATACAACCAGAATTACCGTTGCCCTTGCGGAAGCCTGGCCTGCATTGCAAACTCTCCATTTGGGGAATATCGTGAGTAAGTCATGTGGGAGCAGCACTCAAAAAAAGACACCAGAACAAAGGGCTCCCTTTCTCTACCTTTCATGGCTCTGCAGCTCTCATGCAGGCATTCTCTTGCTGATCGATTGCCTCTCAAAATTTAATGGAGAGCTTGCTTACAGGCTAATGGATGATCATGATCAGTTGCACTGACAGAGTCTCACTGTATTCTTTATGTTTAACTCATTATTTCTCAATAGCATTCTTGGTAATCTTTCCTAGATTTGTCTTTCTGATGCTGATGTTTCATCTGCAGAGGAAGCAAATATGATATTGCAAACACATAGCAACCCTCACCAAGTTGAGGAATTTATTCTTGAAGGTATGCATATTTTATAAAGCTTTGTCAGTGCATTTATTTAAATAAATTGCCTTCATATCAATGTACTATTATAGAGTTCCCAATCCCCATCCACCTATAGATTTGTCCTGTCCATGTATTTTAGGGTCCCAGAGCCACAAAATATCGTGCAAATAAAAACAATAACAACAACTTGACGTCTTTACAATTTTGTGCTCTGCTAGTTATTTAATTTCACTAAAAGTAATGACCCCAAGGTACCATGCAAAATGAAAATTTTTAAATCAACTAATAACTGACAAAAAAACAAGGTCTTTATATCAAGAGTGTATGAAAAGCCACATAAATACTCATCAAAGTGATAGCTATAGTAATTCACACACTTACAATTGCACGAAGCAATAATTATTTTCAACCAAACTGTTTTTTCTCTGCAAGGAAAGCCAAGCATACACAGCATTCCTATCCAACTGTTTTCACAAATTTGCAAAGGCTCAGTCTGTGTGGTAATCAACTGCAAGACATTCCATGGTCTATTATTTACCTGCGGCAACTCAAGGAGCTCGATGTTTCCTTCAATGCTTTGGTAGGTGCTGGTTTTATTCAATTTTGAGATTGTTTTATTCATTCTATACCAGGGCTGTCAACCCCCCACGTCCTCAGATATTGAGAATTGATGGGGAAGGGATGATAGATGATGTCACAATGCACGGCACATGACCTCATTTGTGACAAAAAAAAACGCAAAAAAGATGTTGTTGGAATTGTAAAATTTGACCTAATTGATTTACTTCCCACCAATCACATCATTGCTTATATTACAACGGCATACCGGAGTTTGTGAGGAAAAGTTCGATGTTAACAGTAAAATAGCTCAAATAAGGCAAAATATGTGACATTTCATTGTCAGAAAGTCGAATCTACAAGAAATGGCAAACTTCGGCGATTATCTGGGAGATTTCAGACTCTAATCTGGAGACCGGGAGAAACGGTTCAAAATCTGGTGTCTCCCAGATTATCCGGGAGAGTAATTGACAGCCCTGCTATAAAATGTTATTAATTCACAGCAGCTGATCACATGAGGCTTGATATTGGCCAAAAATTAAGATATTATCTGTACCACATTACTGTAAGTGCATAACAGGCTCATTTATTACTTAATATTTCACGATACTAAATCACTTTTGGGAAATTCTTTTTGCTAAAATGTGGAAAAGGCCAAGGCTTAATTCAAATGTAAATGAAATTACTGTATACAATTTTGTGTAGACAGTTACAAGCATATACTGTTATTGGTTATGGTACTTGTTAACCACCTTTTAAAAGTTCCCAGAAATTCAAGCACACTGTTAATTTGTGTTCTCAAAGAACTTTCCATCCACCTGTTAAAAATTGATCATTAATTCTTGTTGTTTTGTTGTACATTAGCATGTTCATATTTTGTTGGCTAAATAATAATATTGTCCATAATTTACTTCTATGTAAAAAAATGTTTTCAATTATATACTATGTGTTTATGTTACTCTTTAATTGCTTATTCACTATGAGCTGTTAGCTATTATTGTTTCCCCTTATTATTTTATTTATCAATTTTTATTTTATTAGAGTGTTCTTCCAAGAATTGTGTGCTATGTTCCAACCTTGCACGTTCTATCATTTCAGTAAGAAGACTAAAACTTTGCCACAGAAATATATTTGTCCTCAAAAAAATGAAGGGATCAAGAGCAATATTAAGTGACTATTCTTTATTCAAGGGAGTGCTTCTTTTTTCAAGTGTAAGATGTTTAGTTTTGAAAGCCATGAAATTCATCTGTTAGCCCTTTTGGGGCCCCTTCACAGACCCAAATGACAGATTTTCCTACCCTGTCGTATCCTTCAACGGTAAAATCCCCACCCTTTCATATACCTTAAGCCTAAAAATGGTACCCCTTTCAGGTGGAGCCTCCCCTGATAGGCCATTATAGAGAGTACCCCCTGGGCGTGGCATGCATCACAATGGGTGGGGCATATAAAGTCTCTATTTTCTTGGTGCTCTAGAGTACTTTTAAAAGTACGTATAAGTTCATGGTGAAGAAAATGTTCCAAAGGGACTAATACTAATCCTCCATCCTCTCTCTTTTTATCTTTTTCTTCAGAAACAACTTTATCACCTATTTACCAACAGAGCTGCTTAATTTACCCAGTCTTAAGACTTTAGAGGCGCAAGATAATCCCTTGGTTTTGCCTCCTCCAGCAATCGCAGAGAGAGGAAGAGAATCCATTTTAGCTTACCTTAGAAAGAGAAAAAGCAGAAGAAACATGTTTTCAGACTTCAAGCCATGGATCTCTCCAAATGATAACCTGGTCACTGTAGAGGTATCAACCCTGGTAGAGCTCTGTGTCAAGTAAGTATAGCTCTGCTTAGCCTGCGTGGTAGGTCTTTGAAGGGGGAAGGGAAAGGGGGGATCATTTAAGGCATACAAGTACACGGGGGTGTGTGGGAGATGATGTTAATTGAATTGGAAACTTTCCCTTGAAAGAGGGATTTAGAGGAAGACGTTTCCTTCCCAACTTACTCCCACACCTATCGAGTACAAAGAGTACACACAAGAGAGGGAGTTAGAGGGAGACATTCTCTTCCTACCTTCCTTCCTTGCCTCCTTGTTTCCTTATCGCGATCTCACGCACCTCTATTTCAGGTAATCCTGTGTAACCATTCAAATGAAACCTCTTCAACACTAGCAAATGACACAGGCTCCATATAAAAAGGGTGTATCTATGATGCACTATATTTACCTTGGCAAGAATGGCTGCATTGACATTGGGAAGTGGGACTGGTTCATCATCGTCTTCATCCATGCCAAGATCTAAAAATTGAAGCATGGTAATATGGGTCAAACCAAAAAGACCTTAAGTTGAGTAAACAGCCTGCATTTTAATCTCAAAATATTAGCTTTCTGTGGCATCATTTTTTTCCTTGCACAAAGCCCTGTACAACTTTTTCCTATGGACTCTCTAAGATTGACACTGTCAAAAAAGCACCTTGAGATGGTCCTGACTGTTGTTCAGTCAAGTTTTTACAATCTCTAAAACAAAAATGAAACCCACTCTAAAATAAGCACCAACTGTCAATCATAATTCACTGTACATAGCCAGTAATTTTCACGCACATCAAACTGCCATTTGCTCATGCACTTACTTGAGTTATTAATATAGAGTGAAGTTCCCCTAAAGTAAAGCCATTTCTATTTTTTAAAAAATAAAATAATGTCCTGATGTCTTATGCCTATTTATAATAACACATTCAACATTAATTCTCCAACATGTTTGTAGATATGAAACTGTGTAATAAATACTGAATACAATGTTATGTAACTGTAGAGATGTGATGATCATCTCTGCACTTATTTCTTCATCATCAAAATTCAAACATTCATCATTTCACAATGTTACGTGTAATCACAAAAAGGGCTTCTCCTTTGAACTCACCTTCAAGCATAGTTTTTGTGACAGATGCTTTGACCACTTCTACATCAACTTCATAAATTTCTCCATCTGAGCTTTGTAGTTTAATTTCTGGCATCTGAACCAATAAAAACCACAAACCATAAAATGTTACACAAACAGAGGGGCCTAGAATATAGCCCCAAGTTACTCCCTTCCTTGCTAAGCATTTCATTTAGTCAAGCATTTGTCGAGCAATATTTTGCTCTTTCTGTATGGCCAGGTTGTTAAAAACGGGGATGGCATAACCCAAGGATAGCACAATATTTTAGGGGCAGATCCAGAAAATTTAGAAAGAGGTAACTGGGAGACTTGCCAGTTACTATAACATTTTATTCATTGGTCACAGAACTCTGACAGATTTTTGTGTTCAAAGATTAAGGATATAGAAGACACAATTTACTGAAATAAGAGACATGACTTAATTTAGTATGTTGAAACTGCCCATAGGTGAACTCCAATAAAGCTACACTTTCATAAGGGGAGTGGTCACTTACAAGAGGTTCCTGAGTGAGGGCTCCAACACCTCACAAATTCTTGGTTTGCAACCACATGACAAGGCCGCCATGTTGGGGGTCAATACAATAGAATTTTTTTTCTCGAAGAATTTACATAAAAATAGAGTTTAAATCCCAGAGGAGAGAAATGCTTTTGTTCTTGGCCACCAACATGACACAAACCAGCAATAGCCTGACTTCTGGCAGTATAGGTGTTATTGTCTCATTTGCTCAGAAGCCCTTCTAGCTAATCCAGCCAGGCTAACCACACACATGCTGGCAGAATTGGACACCACACCACACCTGGGACTATGTCCCCTACTATATATCAACAGGATGTGTCGTCTTAAAAGTTTCACAGATTTTGAGTGAGCAAGGGTTGTGAGACCAAACCCGCAGTTCATTGTCCTTATCAAAAAAGACTCCTCAGTTATTTGAGGACCTACAGTGTTGGTCTTGCCAGAATTGGAAAAGAAGCCTCCTGGTTAGAAGACAGATACTAATCCAAACTGGTTTGCTGTGACAGTTTGAACCAAAGTGCTTAGACCGGGAACATTCTGATGTTTTGAATGGATGGTCCCTCACTCGCTGAGGATCACAGTACCACACATTGCATGTGGATAAATTTAAATTTTCAATTTTACCACAGACTTAAATGCTACATATAGTAAAATGCAAGTTCTCGAGACAATTCAAAAGCAACAAAAGCAGACACATGTTGCTTAAGAAACTGAACCCACATCTTAAATCAAGTTATTATTCATTCAAAATATTTCCCCGATTCTGATTGGCTAAAAGCACACGTTTAATTCACCATAACCAGTTACTGATGACCAAATTTGGAAGAATTTTGACTTTAACGAGGAAATGACGTCAAAAATGCAGCGTTGTCGCAGGTTAAGGCACCGTTAACCGAGAAGACCTGGGGACGAGGTTGAGTTGTTTTGGTTGTGAACTTGAAAAAATGGCGAACGTTTCACTCGTTTCAAGAGTAAGAACTAGTCGAAAAAATAGCTAAAAACACGGCAAGAACAGCAAGAAGACAACTCGAAGGGCGACATCTGCCATTTGGAGAATATTTGTGGAGCTGTACAAACCTAAACGTACACTATCGAAGATGAACTGAACATCGATGGATCGATGGAGGTAAGCATGTTTTAGCTATGTTTTTAAACTAGGAATTATTTTGAATGAATAATAAAACAGTTATTGAATTCGGCTTTCGTATCATATGAAGAATTATGGACATCTCGGAGGGTGTTATCCGCCTCGTCGTACGGCCTCGACGGATAACACCCTCCTCGATCTCCATAATTCTTCATAAGATACTCAGCCTCATTCATTAACTATTTATTTAACTGTCTATTTGCATATTTATGGCGGGCGGACGCTAATTTTTTAGCTCCTCGTATTTTGATTATTTCGCTCTTTTTCTTGCCTATTTCATCGATTTGTCAGTATTTTTGTTTTTCCTGTGCACTAAAATTATGCCAGAAACACGTAATTCTAAGACATCCAGCGGCTCACCAAGTGCTGACAAGAATCCCTCGAATGAATTTGTAACGACAGTGATGTTGAAAGAGATGCTTCAGCTTCAAGAAAGGATGTTTAAAACCCTTGTAGATTCGCTTGTGAGCAATTTCAATTCTCGACTAGATACAGTGGTTGGAACTGTGGCTGAACTTAAGACTTCCCTAAACATATGCCACAAGGACACAAAAGAATTCAAACAAAGTCTTGAATTCTCTCAGAAAGATATCGACGAGCTAAAGCCGTGTAAAACCAAACTTGCTGAGATAGAGGATGACATCGAGGACATCTACGACTCTATCGACTACCATATGGACAAATTAGAATATTTGGAGAATCAGAGTAGAAGAAACAACATCAGAATTGATGGGATCTTAGAAGAAGAAAACGAATCGTAGGACACTACAGAGGAAAAAGTCAAACAAGTTCTAGCGGAGAAGCTCAACCTTGAAGAAGCGCTCTACATCGAACGTGCTCATCGTGTTGGTAGGGTTGCTTCTGGCCCTAGAAGACGCCCTCGCACAATTGTGTGCAAACTTCGAGACTTTAAGCAAAAGGAGCAAATATTGAAGGCGACAAGAAGAATTAAACCTGTCGGTTTATACGTAAATGAAGATCTTGCTAAGGAGACCCTTGATAAGCGTGAAGAGCAGAGACCCAAGCTGGAGGAAGCAAAGCGGAATGGAAAAATAGCGTACTTTGTGTTGGACAAATTGATTGTAAAGGACAGACGTGGTTAAATCAGATAAGTGGTTAAATTAGATAAGTTTATTACAGTGACACAATACTCGCTATCAGATGTACTGCCCTTTAATCATTTAGATGATTCTAGCTTTTCTCTGGCGCTATATGAACTACAGAATGGTCCTGTTCACTTTGATCCCGATAGATTTTCTAGCTTACGTTACAATCCAATTTTTTCAAACTCAAACGCTTCTTTGACACTGTCTGGCAGTCTTGATCCTGACATTAATTTTCATGCAGTTGAGACACCCTGCGACTATTTTATTGAAAATCAATTTAACGAAATGCTCAGACGCGAAAATTATTCTGATGCCGATTTCTCTTTCCTACATCTTAATATTCGTAGTCTTCCTCATAATTTAGTAAAGCTGACTGACTATCTATCATGCTTAAACATAAAATTTTCTGTAATCGGAATTTCTGAGACCTGGCTAAACGATTCTGCTCATTCGGTCGATATTAATGGTTTCAAATTTCTTCACAAGTATAGGCAAAATAGAACTGGAGGTGGGGTAGGGCTTTATATTTCAAACGATCTAGAGTTCAAACTTCGAGAAGATTTGTCCCTCCATAATGTTGATACTGTAGAATCACTGTTCATTGAATTAATAAGACCTCGAGAAAAAAATATAATTGTTGGTATTGTTTACAGACCGCCAAATCATAGACTCGACGATTTCTTGTCTACAAACAATGAGTTGTTAGGTAATATCTCTAGAGAAAACAAAATATGCTTCCTAATGGGGGACTTTAATATTAATTTAATTAACTACCAAAATCATCACCTCACAGGCCAATTCCTAGATGGAATGTACTCTAATATGTTTTTTCCTTTGATTACGCGTCCCTCGAGAATTACTTCACATACTGCTACGTTAATAGATAATATTTTTGCGAACAACTTTTTTGAACGTTCGAGAAGCGGCTTATTATTTACTGACATTTCAGATCATCTACCCGTCTTCTCAATTCATTCAGATAACGTTAACACGTCGGTAAATCGATGTCCACAAGACCCCTTCTTTATTAGAGATAAGAATCCGAATAATATTCCTACTTTTGTTGAAAAACTAGAAGTTGTTGATTGGTCTTCGATTAAAACTTGTGATGAGCCAGATATTGCGTACAAACGCTTTCATGAAATGTATACAAAGATTTATAACGATTGCTTCCCTCTCAAGAAGGCGACTAGAAAGCAGAGGCGCTTTAAAAAACCGTGGTTAACGAAAGCTCTTCTTAAATCAATTAATACAAAGAATAAACTTTACAAAAAATATCTTCAAGTTCCAACAGTCGACAATTGTTCACTCTACAAAAGATACAAGAACAAATTGAATCACACCTTGCGTTTGGCTAAGCATCGGTATTATGAAAAGAAATTGGAAGATGCTAAATCAAATACACATGCGACCTGGAAAATTTTAAACGAAGTCTTAAATAGAAAAAAGTCGAGGCCTCAATTAAATACAATGTTTAAGTCAGACGGTCAGGAGATTTCTGATCCAGTGGAAGTAGCAAATAGGTTTTGCAGCTACTTCTCTAGTATTGGTCCCAACCTCGCAAAGAAGATACAGCCTCCTCCTTGTTCACATAAAGATTTTCTATCTGGATCATTTCGAGAATCAATCTTTTTTAGCCCAACAACAGAGGATGAAATTATTACCATTGCTCAATCTTTTGCTTCCGGGAAAGCAGCTGGATATGATAATATTCCAATGTCTATAATTAAGGAATCCATTCAAATCATTTCGGGACCTCTGGTTCACATAATGAATTTATCGATCGCTCATGGCGTTGTACCAGATCAAATGAAAATAGCTCGTGTGGTACCACTGTTTAAAGCTGATGACCAGTCACTATTCACCGACTATAGGCCTGTCTCGGTTCTACCAAGCTTTTCAAAATTTCTAGAGAGAATCATCTATAATCGTTTGTTTGATTATTTAACTAATTTACATATTCTCTGTGATAACCAGTTCGGCTTCAGGAAAAACCACTCTACGACGCTTGCCTTGATTGATTTGCATGAAAAAATTTCATCTGCTATTGATGGTGGTGAATTAGCGGTTGGTGTCTTTTTAGATCTCTCGAAAGCTTTCGATACAGTCAATCACTCCATCTTATTTGATAAACTTGAACACTATGGTATACGTGGCTTGGCTCTGAAATGGATTAAGAGCTATTTTTCCAACAGACTTCAATTTGTAGAATACAATGGTTATGTTTCGTATCGTCCTAATATCATGTGTGGCGTTCCCCAAGGTTCAATACTAGGGCCTTTGTTTTTTCTGCTCTACATCAACGATATAATCAACACGTCAACAATATTACAACTGATATTATTTGCTGATGATACAAACGTATTTGTGTCTCACAAGGATAAAGACTGCCTTACTAATATACTGAACGCTGAACTAAATAAGTTGTCAATATGATTTAGAGCTAACAGGCTTTCATTAAACTTGAAAAAAACCAAATTCATTTCATTTAAACCATCCCAAAAGCGTACAAATCAAACTATTCAACTTTTCATTAATAGTCAAAAAATTGATCAAGTAAAAGAAACAGTTTTCCCGGGAGTAATCATGGATGAAAATTTAAATTGGAAATCTGAAATCTCACATGTCGCCAATAAAGTTTCTAAATGCACAGGAATTATTCGTAAATCCAGTTTCTATTTATCCACGAAAACCTTACGAACACTATATTTTTCTCTAGTCTATCCATACCTTTTTTACTGCAACTTAGTTTGGGCCTCTACTTACAGAACTAACCTTATTCGTCTTGAGATTTTACAGAAACGAGTGATCAGAACTATAGCTAAAACCACTTTCGATGCACATACTGATCCAATCTTTCAAAATCTTGGTATCTTAAAATTTCATGATATATACTTAATACAACTAGGCTTATTCATGTACTCCTATCAAAACCATACTCTACCTTCAAAATTTCATTGTAAATTTACCTTACAAAGTCAAATTCATTCGTATAATACAAGAAACTTGTGTAAATTTCGTCTGCCTTTCTGTCGTACTCGAACCAAGCAATTTTCCGTTTTTTATCAAGGACCTAAATTTTACAACACCTTAAACACCAACATCATCAACGCTTCCTCACCTTTCTCCTT